TCTCAACAGCCCTGGTCACTGACTGTGGGAGGCTGTGCCCCAGATTAATAACACAGCACATTGGGTGGCTGGGCTGACATGTGAAGAAACTCTGGTGGAGCTGTCATTTTCAGATAATGGAGGAGTCCATCCAGGTCACGAGTGCTAAGATGTCTAAGGAGTATCAGGCACTCTGAAGCGTGGCTTCCTCAACTGAGTGAATGGCAACCTTTTTGTCAATGAGTACCAGAGATGCAAGAGGATATCACTGCCTTGTCCATGAGGTCAATGCAGTAAGGGCAAGGCAAGAGATAGAAAAGCCCCTGGAGTTTCCACTCTGCCCTGCTCCTTCTCAGCTAACATGGTGTGGAGCTGGAGAAACACAGCAGGCCAAGCAGCATCAGAGGAGCAGGAAAGCTAACATTTCGAGTCTGGAATTTCTGAAGAAGGGTCCAGACAGAACTGTCAGCTTTCCTGCTCCTCTGATGCTGCCTGGCCTCCTATGTTCCTCCAGCTCCACACCTTGTTATCTCAGATTCCAGCATCAGCAGTTCCTGCTATCTCCTTCTCAGCTATGTGCTTTGCATCAGATATGAAGGACCTTCAACTTCTAGGTATCTCTCAGGATGTGGACAGTCACTCCTCAGACCCTCTACCAGTAAATCCTGCATCCCACATAGCCATGCCCATACAGCAGACTGCACTTCTGCAGGTTCCCACCAGCAGCCAAGGCCCTGTAAGTCTCAGGCAGCTAGACAATAGCTACCAAGGTCATCCTGAGGCATGAGCAGAAATAGCAGTAGCCTACCTCCACCTCATCTATAAGAACAGTGCTGGTGCCTCATAGGGGCGCTCATAAGGAAATTTTTAGGGCACCAAATACAGCAGAGGTTCCCAGATATTTAGATTAATGTAGGTGGTAAATCCCTGTTTCTCTTGTGCCACTCAGTAAATCTGTCATTTGTTGTTGCTGTTAGTCGATCCAATTCTGGTTGCATTCTGCAATCTCATCTGCAGCCTTGCTCGTTCAATGAGGTGGAGGTGATGATGATATGAACAGCACTATTACAGTTCCTCAATCTTGCTCCTGTGCACTATGCAGCTGGCTGCTAAATGATGCAGTGCAAAAATAAAGGCGGTGACAGCAGAACTGATTAAATGTCTTGCTGCTTTCCAGAAGAATCCCTTTATCTTTACACCCTTCCACAAATCTGATGTCCAGTTATATGTCCTTCTGTACTTTTGATTGTGGACTGAAATAAGAACAGGACTAGCGCCAAGGATGCGTACAAAGGAAAATTTGGCTGGCAACAGAAGCTGATTGGTCTGTGGAGTTGTGAACAGCTGTTGTTGACAAAGTCCTTCTGCCTGCCAATAGCTACGGGATTGGCTCTAGGGTAGCCGAACATCTTGCGGGTGTGAATAATATAGCAGAAGACTTCAGACCCCTGGAAGAAGAGGTGGCATCCATTTCTTGACAGTAAACAAACACTGAAGCCTGAAGAAAGTCAGTTTATTTTCCTTCACCTCTCATTGCAAGTTTTCGCTTTTGATCATTAAGATTTTACAAGTTGTGAACCCGTTGCTCTGCTCCTCCTGCAAGCAAATGAAAGTACCTAGAGAGGATGGAATGAGGAGCATCAAGTCGCGGCAAGCCAAAAGGATCATCTCAGTGAACTCTGTGGACAGGAACCATTGAACAGCCTCTCCAGATTTTCTGTCAACTTATAATGCCAATTATTTTTGCCTGTCTATGTGTGTCTGTATGTGTGCATTGTGGGATTTTATAAGGGATTAGAGTTTTAATGAGAAGAGTTACATGTTGACAATTCATAATTATTTATCTTACAGTTAGAATCTATTTATTGTAATAAATAGTAATTCTTGTTAAGTACAGAATCTTGGTCTATGCTTTCTGTCAACCTAACTCTAAGAAGACAGGTTAGTTGAGAAATTTCTGTTCTTACACACGATCTTTAACTTCTGTGGCGACACTGGGAAAAGTGGGCTTGATTTGTAGCGAGTTATCCTCGTGAGGTGTAACAATTCTGTAACACTGTTCCCGGCAATTACAGATGCTGTAACATAACCAAGTTAGGCCCTTGCACAGCAGTATCCAGTTTGCCAGGTTCTCTTTCAAATTACATGTACTTCTACCATTTACTGCTGATGCTGCACTCTTCAACACAGTGCACAAAATAAACAAAGGTAAGCTCCCTGGATGTTGAAAGAAATATAGACTGAGGTGAAGAATTGAAAAAGGATATGCGTGATATGGTAAACAGAAAGCACAATTGAAAACCAGGCTGAATGTTGAAGGTTCAGAGGGGAACTCAAAAAGGAACAGATAAGAGAGGCTCAGAGAGAGTATGAGAAAAGACTGGCAAATAATACAAAATAGAATTCAAACCTCTTCTATAGGCATATAGGGATGGTGGTAAAAGATGTGGGGTCAATTATGAACATAAAATGCACATGGAGGTATGGCTGAGGTGTTAAATAAAATCGTTCTATCGGCAGTCACCAATGTAGAAGTTTCTACCCTAATCATGTTGAAAGGGGCAGGCCATTTGTCTAACCCTGTCTGTGCTGGCTCTCTGCAAATGCAACTCCACAAACCCCATTCTGCTGCATTTCTCTTTCAAAGATCATTCACGATTTTGTCTGTTTCTACTACATTCTCAGACACTGCACTTCAACTCGTGACCACTCAGTGCATACAAATACTCTTCCTCACGCTGCTTTTGCTAATCACCTTAACTTGGTGCCCTAAATTTGATAAATCACCAGGATCAGAAGGAATGCAACCAAGAATATTGGATGGAATAAAAGAGGAAAGTTCAGAGGTCTGAGTCAATCTTTTTTTAATTCTCCTCAGATATAAGGATGAGGCTGATGACTGGAGAATTAAACACGTTAGCCCTGTTCTAGAAAAGGTGTAAGGATAAATCTGGTAACTACAGACCTTTCTGTTTCCCTCAACAGTGGAGATTCTTGTAGAAATAACCTGAAGATTAAATGGTCCTTTAGGGTGGGACAGCAGGAGGAGAGATAGTCGTGAGATTTTAAGTCATGCATGTGGGATATTCCTGGCACTACATGCCCTCTCCTGACCCCGGTGCAGTGAGACATGCACTGGTAGGCCTGCTTCCCTGTGCATGAACTGAAGATGATTAAGGATTCCCTCTCACCTTTCACATGATGAAACAGGCTGGCACCAATTGTCCAGATGAAAGCTGGCAGTGAAAAGGGCAGGGGACTTCTTTTCAGGCTCCATTTGTCCTTCATAGGCATCTTCCCCCTCACTGTGATGTTGCCATGCCCCTCCTCTCCAAGCACCAACTTTCCCCTTTGCCACAGCCCTGTTGCAGCCCAGTCCCACTCCAGAGCTGGCAGGTTCCGACAAGACTCTGGACTTACCTTTGTCTGGGCTGTATCGCAGTTTGCTTCCCTCTGTGCTCATAGCTCATGTGAACCATGAAGAGATAAATCTTCAATTGCACAGTGGAATATACAGTCTTGTAGACTGGATGGTTAAGTGACAAAAGAAATTTAATACAGAGAAATGTTCAGTGATTCATTCCTGTAGGAAGAATGAGGAGAGGCAATATAAAACAAAAGGTATGAGATTTAAGAAGGGTTCAGCAACAGAGGGACCTGGAGATAGATGTGTAGAAATCATTAAAAGTAGCAGAATAGCTTTAGAAAGCAATTACTTAGGTATATGGGTCCTGGGTTTTACAATAATGGACGCAAAGTACAAAAGTGAGGAACTTATGTTTAAACCTGCATAAAATGATCTCTTGGTCTCAACTGGTGTAATGCACTCTGTTCTGCATATCACACTTCACCGAAGACGTGAAATCATTAAACAGAATGCAGAAAAGATTCACAAGAATAGTGCTCAGGCAGAGAAACTTCAGTCACCTGGATCTGGGGTTGTCTGCCTTAGAGAAAAAGAGATTAAGAGGCATATGGACAGAGTAGATAGACAGCTATGGAAGGATCTAGAACCAGATGACACTGATTTAAGGCAGTTGGCAAAAGAAGCAACAGTGACGTGAGAGAAAAAAGAAATCTTTTCAAGCAGCAAGGCTTAAGGATGTGGAATGCACCTCCCAAAGAGTGTGGTGGAGGCAGATTCAATTTAGACCTTCAAAAGAGAATAACATCACTATCTGAAAAGAAAAGGTTTACAGAGTTATGGAGAAAAGTTTGGGAGTAAGGCTCATAATGTTGATATTGCAGAGAGATAGCACAAACATGATAAGCTGGATGGCTTACTTCTGTGTTGTAACCATTCTATGATTCAATGATTCTGTGGTTCCATGCTTCCACAGATTACAGATTGTTCAGATTTCCCCTAACCCTTACACTAAACCTGAGGGCAAAACTTAGCAGGCACTGAATTAAAGAAAACTTATACGTTTTTCTCTGTTTGTCTTCCTGCAAAATCTTTTAGAAAGATTACACTTTGTTGAACAAGGAGCAATGGGAATTTTAAGTCTATAAGTTCATAGTTACTGTTGCGCACTCCTAGCAGCCTTGGAGAGCAACTTTATATTTGCAGAAGGACCATTTTCTCCATTATGTGGAAAAAAAGTCACATTTATGTATTTTTGCTTTAGCTTAATCTAAGCATTATCATTTATTTTGTTATTTGAAAATGCAAATTTAAAGTGAAGCATAAGCAGTGCTTCTAACAAACAAGTTTGCCGTTGTGAGCGTACTTCAGTGCGATTGGCTGCTCATCTTGCTTACTGGTACCACAATTGCTGGACATTTGAAGATCCCCTTTAAACGACCATCATGTAATGGGAAATCCATGTTACAGAGATCTTGAGACATTTGCAGACAGCTTTCTTCACGAGCAGCAGCAAGAACATTGATTCATCACTAAACACAAAATCCAGCCCATAACTGCATCAATTAAAATAGTCCTTTATTATTACCACGATGATGTGTACTAGAAAAATAGAGCAATTAACTTTTTTTAATTTCAAAAACATATTTGCACATACCATGTCTGTGTCTGATACAGGTCCAAAACTTGTCACGTAGATGTCTGTCTTGACTTCTGTTATTCTTTCTGATGAAACAAAAAAAAGCCTGGTAGTTTTTGATAGAGATGTCTGTCATATATAATTGAGCATCGTAACACACTACACCCTACAGTAAGTATGACATTTCCAGCTTACAGTGCTCGTTCTATGAAAGTAATAGGCACGTCATTGTATAACACTACTCTAGTTTTCTATACATATTAATTTGACAAGTTAAATGCTTGGATCAAAAAGAACCACAGGCAAAATCTTATAAGGGTCTGAATGACATGGGCTATGGCTAGATTTGTGGACGATTTGGGGCAATAAGTGTGACAAGGCTCGATATCATGTGCAACTTGCAACAGCTTTTACACTTTTCACAAATGGTGTGTGGCAAGATTCTCGTTAATGCAGGGGGATTATCGCTTATTAAACATACAGTTAACAGCCTTACCCACCTCAGTAATATTCAGCCTCCCATACTGCATGTCTTGTAAACACGCTCGGGTTGGAAATCTCAACAAGGGAAATAGAGAGAAGCAGATTCAGCTCGCCACCAGCATTTCAGGGGCACTTTCCACTGTCACTAGTCACAGACACTCCACATCCATGGACACTGGCGTCTGACCATGCGCCATCCTCTCAGGACCCTCATGGCACATTTCCAATCTATTTGCAGAATGCTTCTGTCATCCAGTGCTGCACCATCAACTATCATCACAATGTTGCTGCAAGAACACCCTGCCCTCAGGGACATGCACTCAGATCATGGGCTGAACCAGGTTGCATCTCTGGGCTCTGAATTTGCTGTCACAGCACTCACTCACCCTAGCATATTCATTCAGTTTAATCTATTTCATTTTAAATTTCAGTCCCAGCAATTAGGGATGGAGAACAAATGCTCGCCCTTTGCCAGCGATGCCCCATTCTGTCAAAAAAATTTAAAAACTGCTGTTGGGGAGGCCATACAACAGTATTTTGTTCAGAAATGCGCAGCAGTAGATGTTACTTAATGTATTGGAATATGTAAGGCAATGACGGATGCTTCCAGAAAGTCTTGAAGAGCAGATTCCCACAAGGGCATTACTGTTAATCGTATCTAATCAGAATATTTTACATTAATGTGTCCCATGCAAGCAATGTACAGAGATATAATGGCACAAATATCCTTATTCTAATATCATTGACTAGATCATATAGAGTCATACAGTCATACAGCACAGAAGCAGACTCTTTGGTCTAATCAGTCCACCCCAACCATAATCCTAAACTAAAATAGTCCCACCTGTTCGTGCTTGGCCCATATCCTTCCAAACATGTCTTACTCACATACTTACCTAAACGTCTTTTGAATATTGTAACTGTACCTGCATCCACCACTTCCTCTGGAAGGTCAATCCACACACAAACCACTCTATGTAAAAAAAGTTGCCTCTCATCTCTTTTTTAAATCTTTCTCCTCTCACCTTAAAAATATTTCCCCTCATCTTGAAATGCCCCACCCTAGGGAAAAGACCTTTGCAATTCACCTTATCTCTACCCCTCATTATCTTATAAACATCTATAAGGCTACGTCTCAACTTTCTATGCTCCAGTGAAAAAAGTCCCAGCCTATCCAGCCTCTCCCTCCATTCCCAGCAACATCCTGGTAAATTTTAATTTCTTTTTAATATATATTGCCAAGGAAATTACGGTCTGTTTGCTGGCTAAATTTTTAAATTAGCATTTTAAGTTTTTTTGTTAATATGCTACCTAAATGAAAATTGTTTTACTCTTAAATAGACACATAATAGAAAAGTAGCTTTTTGTTTGAGCTGTGAACTTATAATTTGGGTTCAGGTTGCTTTATTTATGAAAATTATATAATTTCCATTATTCCTATCGTGTTTATTTAGAGCAGGCATTTAGCTTGGCCAAGCTAAATGAGCTCAGTCCACACCTCAACATGTTTCTCTGTACAGTACAAAACAGTACAAGCTGGGCAGCATCTGGAGGAATGGAGTAGTCAATGTTTCGAGTATTACCCTTCTTCAGGACTGGATGTGGGGGTAGGATCTGGATCTGGAGCTGCAGATAAAGAAAGAGCAGGGGAGAGGTGGTAGCAGAATGGTGGTGATAGGGCCAGGCGAAGATGCTTGGCGAAACGGTCACCTAGTCTATGTTTGGTCTCACTGACGTAGAGAAGACCACATCAGGAGCACCAGCTGCAATAGACTAGGTTGGAGGGGATGCAGGTGAAGCTCTGTCTCACCTGGAAGGACTGTTTAGGGCCCTGGATAGAGGTGAGGGAAGTGGTGTGTGGGCAGGTGTTGCATCTTTTACGGTTACAGGGGAATGTACTGTTGGGGGGGGGGGGGGGGGGGGGGGAGTTGGAGTGGTTGGTGGGGAGTGTGGTGCGATCTAAGGAGTGGTGAAGAGAATGGTCCTTACAGAAGGCAGAGAGGGGCGGGGAGTGAAAGATGTTCCGGTGGTGGGGTTTGACTAGAGTTGGCGGAAGTATTTGAGGATGATATGTTGGATGCGAAGGCTGGTGGGGTTGAAAGTGAGGACAAGGGGGACCCCATCTTTATTATGTTTGGCGGGGGTGGTGGTTAAGAGCTGTGGAGCAGGGAACGGAGGAGGCACGGTGGAGGGCTGTCTGGATGACAGAGCGGGGAAAAGACCGTTGTTTGTAAAAGGCAGATATCTGGGATGCTTAGGAGTGGAACGTCTCCTTGTCAGAGCAGATGCGACGGAGACGGTGGAATTGGGAAAACGGGATGGAGTTTTTGCAAGATACAGGGTGGGAGGAGATGTACTCCAGTTAGCTATGGGAGTCTGTGGGTTTATAGTAAATGTCAGTCCATAAACTGTCACCAGAAATGGAAACAGAGAGGTCAAGAAATGGGAGTTGTTTCCCAACTCTTCCGCTGTTACATCGATGACTGCATCGTGCTGCATCCTGCACCCAGGCTGAACTGGAGCAGTTCATCGACTTCGCTAACAACTTCCACCCTGACCTCAAATTCACTTGGTCTATCTCAGACACCTCCCTCCCGCTTCTTGACCTCTCCACTTCCATTTCTGGTGACAGTTCACAGACACTTACAGCCTGGAAGACTCAACACTGAATTCTCCGATTTCAAATAACCTTCCCACCCATCCCCCTGGCTCCCTTCGCTGCCCCACCTCCTCCCTTCCATTTCACCTTCTGACCCTCCCTTCCAGCCACCACCAGATTCGTCCCTCCCATCGACCAACCAGGTTGTAACTACTACCAGTATCCACCTATCACCACCATTCCGCTACCTCCCTAACCCCCACCTTTATCAGCAGCTCTCCCTACCCCCCAAAACATTGATTTATCCTCTCCTCCGATGCTGCCTGGCTTGCTGTGTTCTTCCAGCATCCTGTTTGTCTACCTTGGATTTTAGCATCAGCAGTTTTTTTTCTCTTTAATAAAATGGTACAAACTTGGTTGATTGATTTGAACTGAGGGTACTTGTTAATGGATGGTTTTTGGGCTGAAAGAAGGTCGGCAGTGGAGTGTCTAAGGTTTGATTTTGTGAACCTTGCTTTTCCTGACCTATAATCATGGTGTGTAGGGGACAATTTCAAGATGTGCAAATGCTACAAAACATGGAAGCACTGTGAACTGTAGAGTGGGCAGTGTAGAACTTCAAAAGGACAAAGTAAGAATGAGGATGAATAGGTGGCAGATAAGGGTAAATGAAGAGTGAGGTGATGCATTGTGGTAGAAGAACATGGACAGATGATATAAAATAGGGGATACAATCCATCTCAATGGACCCCAGAGTCTAAAAAACAGGCAGGAAAACACACTGACACTTCATCGGAGGCTGCACTGAGGATGTTACCCAGCATGGTAACGAAACGTCTGCGAAACAAGAAACCAGCTCAGCGAGCCAACCAACCTCAACACCCACAACCTGAGCTTCAAATCTACTCCAAAACCTTAAATAGGGGATACAATATGAAAAGGTGTGCAGGAATGGAGGGACTTGGGTTTATATATACATAAGAGTACTGAAGGTGGTGGAACAGAAGGAGACAGAAATTAGTAAAGGCATACAGTATCCTGGGCTTTAATAATAGGGACATAGTGTACAAGGGCAGGGAGGTGATGCTGAGCTTCTACAAATCACTTGTTAGACCTCAGCTGTCATATGGTGTACAGTTCTGGGTGCCACATTATAGAAAGGAAGTGAATGTATTGGAGAGATTGGAGATGAGATTTACAAGAATTTTCCAGGGGAAAGAGAATTCAACTTTGAGGACAGAGTGGAGAGCTCAGAGCTGATCTCCTTAGAAAGAAGGCAGCTAAAAGGAGTTCTGATAAAGGTTTTCAAAATCATGAGCCCTCCAGATACAGCAGACAGGGAGAAACTGTTCCCACTCATAAGGGATCAAGAACAACAGGAGGTAATTTCTCACGACCAGTGGTGTGGAATACACTACCTGGAAGCAGGGTGGTAGTAGAGTCGATTGACGCATTCAAAAGGGTATTGAATGATTAATGGAAACAATATATTAAGAAAAGAATTTGAGGTGGGGGGGTCATGAAGTCATTATGCTTGGTTGAGGAGCCTGTAGGATCTCAAGATAGACTGAATGCAACGTAACACATCTGTGATTCTATAATACACAATGTACACAAGGCTCTTGCGGTAGTCATCACTGACCTAAACTACTCTAATTCCAACCTTTTAGCAGATGTTAATGTCACAACACAGCATAGTTCAAAGACTCTACTGCATATTCCTGAACCCTATGTCTACAACATTGTTTATCAAATTATCTGTACTAGGTAGAAGGCCATTCAAAGTGTTGCCTCACTGAACGAGTTGCAAGTTGGATTATTGCCAAGTGATGTGAATTTAGGAAGCACCAAGAGTGAAAATTCATACATTTCATTGAAACCCATCTCTCTAGTATATTTCTTACCCCATCATGCCATCTCATTACGTTTTGAATGATATCAGTACTGTTGTCACTATTACATAATTTGGTAGATTTGCAAATGTGTATCGTTTCCAGAAAAATGAATTTTTCTTATTACCTATCACTATTCTTTGTTAAGACCCAAACTTGAAACAACTTGAGATGACTTAATCTATACCACTTATTATTTGATAAGTCTTGATGAAGTACTCCTTAGATTGCTTTTCACTGGACCACGAAGCATTCTCAAGCCTTCCCTTTTATACCTGGGAACAGTCTTTACCCTCTTTTCTGCGTTCTTTATAACTCAGGGAAATTGTCTTTTGAACCAGAGTATTGGCCTGTATGTGATCTGACATGCACATTGTGAAATCTGTGGTCTCACAAGCCATTGTAAAAATGTCTGTAGTTTTATTTTCTGACTATATATCCTCTTAAGTCTGTTTTATAAACACTTTGTCACATTTCTTTTTTTCTCTTAAAATCGTAATAGTGACTTCATCAAATAGTACTTCCGAATGCTCTTCTAAGTCTCCCACTGCTAAAATGATTCAGGTAAGTGTATATTTTATTCCACTTTTGTTTTGCAACCTCGTGTCATACTATACCTTTAATTAGTGATAAGTTGCTGATCAGTTTTGTGAACAGCCAGTCTACTGTGCTATTTTTCCAAAATGTGGTCAATTAAGCTGGATGCTCTGGAGCATGATGCAGCAGGCAGGTTTATATATCTCTTCTGGTCAGGGATTTTGAACTCAGTGTTTTGTTCAACTTTTCACAAAGTTATAGAAAATTAATATATGATTATAATTCAGTTCACTTCATTTATTCATTTTGTTTAAATATTACCTCACAAATACTAAATACAGCAGGTCTTTGAGTCAAAAAATGATTGTTTTCTCCCATTTAGTCACAGTGCTTTTACCTGAAAATAACCATTTATTATCATCAAAGTTACTGATCACGTGTCAGCTTGTTGATTTATGAAAAAAGTAATACCATGCAGATTGTTCTTTGCTTTGTACAGAAATTGTCTGTAACAACTGTTTTGTTTTAAATTAAAGCCTACTAATGTTTTAGTTACAGGTGTTTTAGGGTTACTAGAATACTCTGGAGATATATCAGAGGTCGATATTGCACCTCTATTCATCAAATCTGTTTCTTTCTCAACAAGCTGCACTAATCGATTATGATAAAGCACTAAACTGAATAGAGATCAGTCTCCTAGTTTTTGTGCCTTCCAGGGACATATTAATCACCAAGGCATCTATTGTAAGCATCTGAAACACCAAGTAACCAGCATTCATGGTTTAATATCAGGAAATTCCATTTTGTTGTGTAAATCCTGTAGAATTTTCCTTCATATTATTTACAAGGTATTGTGAATAAAGTCTCAGAACTGCACTTGCAAGGATTGTACAGAACCACAGCCTGGTTTAGAATTTATGTCAACCTGGTAGACTCTATTTACCTGCATGGCAACTGGGAAAGCTGGACAATAAGGATCAAAAGGAATGAGAATTCCCATAAGTCAACAGGCATGCAAATCATAAGAGCAAAGGAACCAAAACCATGATACATTAACCGTACTTGAAATTTGTCTTCCACTTTGCTTGCTCACAGAAATGCCTTTGAAATCTCAATATCCCTGGATCCCTGGGCACATAATCCCTGCTAATGCAGCACTATTGTTTAGAACAATGGGATGAAAATCCACAGTCCTTCCAATGATCTTCAGTCACAAAACATTTAGGCTCCTACCCAGATTGGTCAGGATCCAGACTCAAACTGGGAGTTGGTTTATGAGGAGAAACTGAGTAGATTGGGATTATATTCATTGGAATTCAGAAGATTGAGGGGGGATCTTATAGAAACATATAAAATTATGAAGGCAATAGATAAGATAGAAGTAGAGAGGATGTTTCCACTGGCAGGTGAAGCTAGGACAAGAGGGCATAGCCTCAAGATTAGAGGGAGCAGATTTAGGACTAAACTGAGAAGGAATTTCTTCTCCCAGAGGGTTGTTAATCTATGGAATTCCTTGCCCAGTGAAGTAGTTGACGCTACTTCAGTAAATGTTTTTAAAAAAAAGGTAGATTTTTTTTGAACAACAAAGGAATTAAGGGATACAATGAGAATGCGGGTAAGTGGATCTGAGTCCACGAAAGGATCAGCCATGATCTTATTGAATGGCGGAGCAGGCTCGAAGGGCCAGACGGCCTACTCCTGCTCCTAGTTCTTATGTTCTTATTTATGGCGTCAATTAAGAATCAAGGCTACCGGACATCCCAAACAAAACCAAGAGTACAAGAAAATACAGGATTCTGTATCAAGCATTTCAGTAGCTGGCCAGATCATCAGAGGCTGTTAAAATGTAAGGAAATCTTGCATTTTTATGGCACCTTTTCCAACTTCAGGACATTCCAAAGCAATTTGTAAATGAAAAAGTATTTTCGAATTCCAGTCACTACTGTATTGCTTGATACACAGCTGCCAGTTTGCACCTAGCAAGGTTCTAATGTGATAAACTGTTCCTGCGATATTGGTTGAGGGAAAAATATCGAGCACAAAACCATGGACAACTCACCTATTTCCTGAATCATTCCACAGGAGTCTTACATGCATCTGATCATATGAATCACAGAAGGTAGGTCTGCAGGTACAACAAGTAATTAGGAAGGCAAATGGAATTTTGTCCTTCATTGCTAAAGGGATTGAAATTAAAAGCAGAGAGGTTATGTTGCAGCTGTACAAGGTGCTGGTGGGGCCACACCTGGAGTACTGTGTGCAGTTTTGGTCTCCTTACTTGAGAAAGGATGTATTGGCGCCGGAGGGGGTGCAAAGGAGGTTCACTAGGTTGATTCCGGAGTTGAGGGAGTTGGCTTATGAGGAGAGACTGAATAGGTTGGGATTATATTCATTGGAATTCAGAAGATTGAGGGGGGATCTTATAGAAACATATAAAATTATGAAGGGAATAGATAAGATAGAAGTAGAGAGGATGTTTCCACTGGCAGGTGAAGATAGGACAAGAAGGCACAGCCTCAAGATTAGAGGGAGCAGATTTAGGACTGAATTGAGAAGGAATTTCTTCACCCAGAGGGTTGTTAATCTATGGAATTCCTTGCCCAGTGAAGTAGTTGACGCTACTTCAGTAAACGTTTTTAAAAAAAAGGTAGATGTTTTTTGAACAATAGAGGAATCAAGGGATACAGTGAGAACGCGGGTAAGTGGATCTGAGTCCACGAAAAGATCAGCCATGATCTTATTGAATGGCGGAGCAGGCTCGAAGGGCCAGACAGCCTACTCCTGCTCCTAGTTCTTATGTTCTAAACAAAGTATTGAATCAATATATCATTCCAAAGCCAGCACTGTTGTCTCTGAAGCACTCCTTAAGTGTAGCACTAAAGCATCAGCCTAGATTTTAGTTTCAGTACATTGGCTGGATCTGAAAAGTAGAACTGGAGTGCAGACTGTCAAAGAAACTAAATATTTTCGAAAAATATTAACCATTTCAAAAAGCCTCCCTCAGCAAGCAAGTTCTCCAGAGAATTAGGTCCTCGTGTCCAAGGTCAGATGTGGGATCCTCCTCTAATCCCAAAAAGTCATTTTTTGTTCAGTTTTAGCTCCAGTGTTTGTACTCAAAGCCCAACATAATAGGCAGTGGAGTTCTGAATACAACAGAAATGTTCCAGCCTTCTGATTCCCTTTTGCAAACTGTACTATGTCTAAGCACAGTTTATTCAGGGACAATCATCACAATTTAACTTCAAGCCAGATCCATTAAAAATGAATAGTGCAGATATTTTGTTCTTTCACTGATGCTTCTAACATTTGCTATTTCAGTCCTTGTTGAACTAAGCCACTTGTCTCAAAACAATAACACATTAAAACCTGAGGCAATGCTGCGCAGCTCAAGCAAATCGTACTTTTATGAGAATAGCCCATAGCAACATTCTTTGGCTAGTAAAAAAAAAGCACAGGTCTAAATTGAAATGAAGCAACTCTGAATCCAATCCTTTGGGAAAAAAAATGCTGATTTTATAGAATGCAAAGCACTTTTGGTGCAGTTACAGTGTCCCTACTACTAGGCCAGAGGCTTTGATTTAAGTTCGCTTTGTTCCAGAGATGTGTCATAACATGTCTGAAAAGGCTGATTAAAAATATCTACAAGGGATCTTGAATTACTCATCTATGATTCAGATCATAAACAGAAGAAAAGAGTGTCCTGAAGCAGCATCACAGTGAAGCAATCTGAGAAATGTTTGCTAATGTGGTTGGAGAGGGTTTAAACTAAAATGGCGGTGGGATAGGAACCTTTACAAGGAGACAGAAGAAACAGAAACAAGGGAAAAATCAAAGGCAGAATGGGAAATAAGAAAACTGATAGGCCAAGAATTCAAGAGCAACTATCAAACAGGGCGACAATGCAAAATAATGTGAACTGACTAAGAACATTAAAAATACAAACCTTAAGGCCTTGTGTCTTAACACGTGGAACATTTGCAACAAAGTGGATGAATTAGTCACATAAATAACTAAGAATGGATATGATATAGTTGGGATCACAGAGACATCATTGCAGAGTGACCAGGGATGGAAACTAAATGTCTGGGGGTATTTAGTTTTTAGAGGACACAGAAAAAAAAGATGGTATTGCATTACTGGTTAAAGAGAAAAGATAAAAGAGTAAGGATATTAGCTCAAAAGAAGGGAATCTGTATGGTTAGAGCTTAACAGCACCAAGAGGCAGAAAATGACAGTGTAGGTGATACGCAGATCCCCAAACTACGGTAACGCTGGCGAAGGCACTAACCAGAAAACTATAGATGCAAGTAATAAAAGGTGTAGTTGTAATTATGTGACATTTTAATCTGCATATAGATTGGGCAAGTCAAATCAGTAACAATACCACAGAGGAGAAATTCCTGGAGTATGGATGGGATGGTTTTCTAGATCAATGTATTGAGTAACCAACTACAGAACTGGCCATCCTAGACTAGGTAATGCATAATCAGAAAGGACTAATTGACTATCTAGTTGTGTGAGGCCCCATGGGGAAGAGTGACCATAATATAATATTATAATAGCATGCTAGAATTCTTGATTAATTTATAAAGTGACCAGATTAACAGCCTCAATCAGGGAACTCATATTCTATGAGGTTCAGCTGGCTAACCACATTACAATCATTACAGAATTGGAGAAGGGAGGGTTCGGTTGCTGACCGAGGGTAAAAAAAAAGGCTTAGGTCTGGAGTGGCGAAGGGGGTTCAGGTCAGCTCAAGGGGGAAGATGAGGTTCGATTCCAGAGTGGGGGAATGACCAGCCGGGTCTGGAGCAGGCAAAAGGGGAGTCAAGTCTGGCGGTTGGGAAAGGAAGGGTTTCGATCCAGCAGCTTAGGAAAAAGTAGTAGGTAGAGATGTCAGTTACCTGATCCAGTGGCCAGGATGTCAGGGTGTGTAATATTACTGTGTAACCTTGCCACACAGAAATGATACTTCCCATGTTCTAGATAAATGATTGCTGATTAGGTTTAGGCAATAAAGTGCATAATTCTATTATATGACAATAGAAAAACAATTCTGAAGCAGAAGTTACAATATAATTAGGCTTGCCGTAAAAAGAATGAACATTAAAATTAAGAATATTTATGTGAAAACCTGCAACTTCAATGAAATAAGAATGAAATAATAAACTGGACAGAAAAGTTAACAATTGGGACAAGTGAATCTTCAAATATAATGTGAATTGAGTAATAATATATTTCCAATATGTGCATAAATTATATAATTCCATGAATAAATAGGGATTTAAAAATATTAAATTATGGAAACATAACGGCATAGAAAGAAAGGGACATTATAAAAGATAAAATCAAATTCAAAATGTATTGATAGAGAACATAAATGAAAACAAGAAGTTGTTTATAATTTTTTTTACGTAGAAAGCATTGGGAGTATGAAAATTCAGGGATGAAAGATAGAATGTGCCTGTGAAAGCTAAGGCAATAATTAAATAATTTGGAAACATTGACACAAAATATCTTGGAATGAGCATGCAGATGTGACAAAGTATACAGAATAATTACCAGAGATAACAGTGGAAATGGAATCCATTCTGTAAAGATGAGTTCAACTTTAAATGCTTGCTGGCATGCACTCTAAACTATTAAAGAAAGTCAGATAGGAAACAGCAGAGGACTTGACCCCAAAACTATCTCCCTAGGATTTGAAAATTGGGCTAGGATAGAAACAATAGCCCAAGTAACATTTCTGCTGAAAAGGCTTCTCATATCATGTAAAGAAGGCATGGTTAAAAAAAACACATCAATTGAAAGTAGATAAAGAGGGGATATTTGAAAGATTTTGCAGTGCTTTAAGTAGGAAAGTCACACAGTCTGGATGGGTTGCATTTGCAGTTACTGAGGGAAGTAAAGAGGAAAATCACAGAGGCTCTGCACGCAATCTTTCAATGTTGCTTAGATAAAGGAGAGATGCCAGAGAATTGGAGAATTGTGTTCAAAACAAAGTAGAAAGTGGTAAAGCCAATTATCTTTGAGGTCATGGAGAGGAAAATATTTTTCACTCGGAAGAACATGCTTTAATAAATGACAGTCAGTCTGGATTTGTTAAAAACATATCATTTTTGATAATGCTAGTCACAAAAGAACAAATTAAAAAAGTCTTTAATGCACCATACAGTATTCTTGTCTTTATTAATGGGGGCATTCAGTGAAAAAGCAAGAGTTTATTGTGAAAAGTAATGGCAAGACTTCAATAGTGTCCTCTGTCCAGTTCTGGGTCCCACACTGGATGAGAAGGATGAGAAGACATCAGACAGGGAAAGAATTCACAAGAGTGATTCCTGAATTGAGGAAATTCAATTGGAGAGACAGGACTGTTCTTCTCAGTGCAGAGAAGGTTGACAAGAGATTTGATAGAGGTATTTAATCAATGAGGGATGTGGACACAGAGGGAGGGAAGAAGTTGCTATTAGTAGAAGGATCAAGAACAAGGCAGCACACATATAAGCTGATTGGCAAAAGAACGAATGGCGATATAAGGAGAAACTTTTTTCTCACAAAGAGAGAAGGTGGAATTTAGAATGCACTGTCCAAGAGCCTTGTGCAGGCAGGTTGAATCCAGAGAGAATTGGATAATTATCTGCTGAGGAAGAAAGTGCAGAGTTTTAGGAGTAGTACTATAAGTAAGTTGCACCTATGGAGACCCAGGACAATCATGATTGGCTGAACAATCTCCTTCTGTGCTGTGACCATTCAGTGATTTGGCGAAATCTAACTGAGTTCTTTGAAAAACCAATATCGGGGTTCATTAGCACAGTTGATATTGTGTAAATAGCATTTCATAAACTACTGCATAATAGTTTCATTTGCAACATGGAATCCCTTGGGATTATGGGTGGTAATAGCAGTTTCAGAACAAGATTAGCAAAATGACAGAAAGCAGAATGCAGTGAACAGATGTTTTTCAGATTGGAAGGAAATACACACTGGTGTTCTACAAAGATGAGGATTGGGACTCTTTCTGAGATATATTCATGGTCTAGACAAGGACATAAATGCCAATGTCCCAGACACCACATCACTATCCCT